TCAGAGGAAGACGACACAGAAGTGAGAAAGGTCCTGGAAACTCTCTGGCTAAGGGCAGCAGAGGCCTTGCCATAAGGAGCAATGGGGGGATGCCACTGATCGGAATCAAGAAATGCCACCCCATTTTTCTCACAAAGGCGCTGAATCAGACAGGGGAACACAAGAGTCCCCTTGTGCTTGGTACCATGACAAATGGTTTTCCCAAGAATGGCATTATATAGGATATCACCAAGGGGAATTTTATCATGATTCACCATGGATATCATGAGTTGGCAGGCAGCAAGAGTGGGATTAGAATTGTTCCCAGTGGGGAGAACATTATGACGGATAAAATCCCACAAAAATTTATAAAAAGGGGACAGGTAAGACTTGATAGGCAGACCTTTAGAGGTCAAAGGCAAAGATTGATCAGTGTATGCCATGGATTTAAAAAGATCAACAGAGTATTCAGCAGAAGCAAGAGCAAATTTTGCAAAATCAAAACCAGGGCATGATCGAAAACCTAAGACCCGATTGATAACAGATGGTTTCAGAGTAATGGGAACTGACCTAACCAAAATCTGATACTTAGACTCCTTAGGGTCAGCAGGAAAGTTAGAGTAAAATTCTTGAACAACAGGGATGTTAAACTTACTAGAGAGAGAATTTAGGGCTTGAAGGTGGTAGTGCTCCAAAATCTGATTTGCAGACTCCTGAGCCGCCAAGGGAACAGCATCAAACTGGTAAGTCCTCTCAGGAATGAATTTTCTCTTTGAGACAACCTCAGTAAAGAAGGAGGCAGCCTCATTAGACACAAAAGGAGAAGAATCTCCAACAGGAACAGAGGAAGAAGAACGGGTTCGAGGAACCCTAGGAATTGACGGATTGAAATCCACCCTGTCAGTGGAATTTGATTTGGAGCAACGGTGGTAAGTGTGGAGAGGCTTGGAGGAAGACATGGTCAGCAGCGGGAAGAAAATTGGAAGAGAAAACAAATGGAAGAAGGGGCGAAGAGACCAGAACAGAGTGAGAGGGAGAGAAAAAAAACTGAAATGGGAGACTGACGAGAACAGAGAGAGAGATAAGAGGCAATCGGAAGTGACGAAGAAGGGAAAATAAAAGACCTAAAAAGGAAAAAGGCGCAAACGACACGACCTAAAAAAAAGAACCGCTCAGAACCAAAAATGGAAAAAAATAACCGCCAAAACGAAAAATGAAAAAAGACGCATTGGGTAGGAAACAAAGCGGATGACTAGTCAACCACAAGCAAGATGACTAGTCAACCCAGGCAAAATTGGCACAGGCAGAGCCGGATGACTAGTCAATCACAAATATGATGACTAGTCAACCACAATATGATGACCAGTCAACTAAGGCAATATGAGAAAGAACAGCAAGGAAAACCACCCAGATGACTAGGCAACCATAAGCAAAGATGACTAGGCAACTAAACCAGCATTATGACAAACACCAAATAATATCGACCTTGTGAAAGACATGATTTTGGTTTTTTTTTTTTTTGATTATTTTTAAATTATAAGCATGAACCAGCACATATATCAAGTGACCAAGGTGGAATTAGCACAATAATCTAAACCAAGTCTTCAACACATGAAGAAAAGAGAATGAAAAAGAGGAATAGTTTTAAAACATATGCAGTGTACATAGACAATCAACTCTGAGAGACACGCAATGAGATGCAATTCATGCTCAGAGACAAGGCATATTTAGGAAAGAAGGAGGTTTAGAGCCAAGGGACACAAGAGATGATATCTAATCTCTCTTGGAGAGACACGTATACACTGCATTCTTAAGACATGATCATAGTATGGGCTCACAGCAAAAAATCAGCACTCTCTATTGACAAAATATTTGATGATTGATTTTGTGGTACTTGCACATCCCGAACATAAGTGCTTTGAATGGCCCAATTTTACGGCTCTTTGCTCTAGATTCTTCAATCAAACCACCTTATACCTTCCTAGAGCCGTGACTACATTGGTCACACTTCCTTTTTTTTGTTTTGTTTTTTTTTTGTTTTTTTGTTTTTGTTTTTGTTTTAAATTTGAAATAGATTGGCTAAGAGAGTGAGACCAGCTAAGAGAGAATAACAAGAACAGTCCAAAATGAAGCCGAGATACATGGCTCACCAAGAGGACAAGATAGCAAGATTTTGGTCTCAACTAACAGCTCAAAAACAAGAAAAAGGGATTATGCACAAGTCAAACAAAGCACAAAAACATTCAGCATGCACACCAGCAGAGATGAGTGATATGAACAGTGACATACTGGACTAGGCAACTGACAAGCAAGATGACTAGTCAACTGTTTGGAGCGTGCTGAAGACAAGGAGCAGATTAGCTAATCAATCAATGGAACAAAGGCCAATGGATTGCCTCAGTGTTCCATGTTTCTGAAAGTCCAAGGCCTTGGTGAGTATATCTGCTAGCTGTTTTTCCGAGGGAACAAATTCCAAAGATAAAATTTTGTCTTCCACAAGATCTCTAATAAAATGGTGCCGAATGTCGATATGCTTAGTCCTAGAGTGTTGAACAGGATTTTTTGAAATATCTATGGCACTCATGTTGTCACAATAGATTAGAAAACATGATTAAGCAAGACCATAGTCTTCCAACATTTGTCGCATCTAAAGGAGTTGAGTACAACAACTCCCAGCGGCAACATACTCTGCTTCAGCAGTGGATAAGGGACAGAATTCTGTTTTTTGCTATGCCAAGCAACAAGATTGTTGCCTACATAGAAAACCCCCCCCGGAAGTGCTTTTCCTATCATCACTACAACCTGCCCAATCGGCATCACTATACCCAACAAGATTGACACAAGTGTCATAGGTATACCACAACCCAAACTCACTAGTCCCACTCACATATTTTATAATTCTCTTAACAGCAAACAAGTGAGACTCTTTTGGGTCACTTTGAAACCGAGCACATACACCAACACTAAAAGAAATGTCAGGTCTACTAGCAGTCAAGTAGAGAAGACTTCCTATCATGCTTCTATAGAGAGTTTGATCCACACTTTTGCCATGCAAGTCTCTATGAATCTTAGCACTAGTGCTCATCGGAGTTCTTGCAGATTTGGCACCTTCCAAACCAAATTTTGTCACAAGATTTTTTGCATATTTAGATTGGGATACAAAGATCCCATCATGGCTCTGTTTAATTTGGAGACCTAAGAAATAATTAAGCTCACCGACAAGACTCATTTCAAATTCACTAGTCATGACATGAATAAAATCTTGAACATGCAAATCAAAGGTAGAACCAACCACAATATCATCAACATACACTTGAGCAATCAAGACATCCTTTTTAAACCTTTTCACAAACAATGTTTTATCAACGGACCCTCGAACATACCCATTTCCTAGAAGATGAGAGGATAACCTCTCATACCATGCTCTAGGAGCTTGTTTCAAACCATAGAGAGCCTTTTTTAAACGAAACACATCATTTGGATGATGTGGATCTTCAAAACCCTTTGGCTGCTCAACATAGACCTCTTCATTTAGGACACCATTCAAAAAGGCAGTTTTGACATCCATTTGATAAAGTTTAAATTTCAAATGACAAGCAATGGCAAGAAGCAATCTAACTGATTCTAAACGTGCAACAGGGGCAAAAGTTTCATCAAAGTCAATGCCTTCCATTTGAGTGTATCCTTGAGCAACCAATCTAGCCTTATTTCTCACCACATTACCTTGTTCATCGGTTTTATTCTTGAAAATCCACTTAGTGCCTATGACATTTGTGTGGACTGGTCTTGGAACAAGGTACCAAACATCATTTCTCACAAATTGATTTAATTCTTCCTGCATTGCAAGAAACCATTCACCATGGTGCAAGGCTTCTTTCACATTTCTAGGCTCTTCCTTGGAAACATAACACACATGGCTAATTTCTTGAGCAAGTTGTTTCCTAGTTCTCACTCCTTGATTAAGAGGGCCAATAATGACACTCGCAGATGGAGTGAGAGAACTATGATCAGTATGAGAGCTGTCAGCCTGGACAGAGGAGATGGAACTAGAAGTTGAAGGGGTTGACAGGTCAACCGGGACAGAATTTTCAAAAGTTGACAGGTCAACCACAAGATCCAGACCTGGAGATTCTTGCACAAGTGGAGGAGGAGGAAAAAGACCATCCTCATCTAATGCCATCTCTATAGAGGCAGCAAAATCATCAATAGTGACATTTATGGATTCAATGATGGTTCTGGACCTACAATTGTACACTCTATAGGCTCGGCTAGAAGTGGAATACCCTAGAAAGATTCCCTTATCACACTTAGAATCAAACTTAGCAAGATGCTCCCTATCTCTCAAAATATAGCATGTGCTACCAAAGACCTTAAAATATGACACATTAGGCTTCTTTCCTTTCCAAATCTCATAGGGAGTTTGTTTGGTACCAGACCTCACAAATACCCTGTTTGAGATGTAACAAGCTGTATTGACAGCTTCAGCCCAAAAGTGTTTAGCAAGATTTTTGCTATTTAGCATCACCCTTGCCATCTCTACAAGCACTCTATTCTTTCTCTCCACAACACCATTTTGCTGAGGTGTAATAGGTGCAGAGAACTCATGTTTAATTCCCATCTCTTCGCAAAATTTCAGAAACTGAGAATTCTCAAATTCAGAGCCATGGTCTGTTCTAATTCTAACAAGAGGCAGATGACTGGTCATCTTCTCTTTTTGCAAAAGATGACAAACAGACTTAAACCTTTGAAAAGTTTCAGATTTCTCACGTAGAAATGAGACCCAAGTAAACCTAGAGAAATCATCCACCATGACAAGAATATATTTCTTTCCACCAAGGGACACGGTTTGAATAGGACCAACAAGGTCCATGTGAACAAGTTCTAGAATTACATTTGTTTGAATGTGTTTGACCTTTTTGTGTGACACTCTGACTTGTTTGCCTAATTGACATCCTTCACAAACATGCTCATCAGATTTTTCCAGCTTTGGTAAGCCACTTACTAGCTCTCTCTTGGACAATTTATGCAAGTCTCTAAAATTAACATGTCCAAGCCTTTGATGCCACAAAATACTTGTTTCATTTACAACCTTGTTGCAAACAATTTCTTTTGCATCGTTGACACCATCAATGCAGAAGCAATTGTCCCTAGACCTTGCCACGCTCACAATCTCATTTCCACCTTTTCCAATGATTTTGCAGCCATGCTTGGAGAATCTGACTTCTACTATTCCATCATCACACAGCTGACTCACACTAATGAGATTGGATGTGAGACCCTCAACAAATCTAACATTCTTAAGCTCGGGCAAACCAGGGATACAAAACAGTACCTTTTCCAACAACTTGAGATCTATGACCTCCACCAAAAGTCACAGTGCCTCCATCAAAGGGGCTGAGAGATGAGAAAACATTTTTATCTCCAGACATATGTTTGGAACAACCACTATCAAAATACCAAGAGTTGATATTTGAAGCAGCAAAAGCATTTAGCACAACAAGAGATTTGGTATGACCTCTTGCAATCCAAGTAGACTTAGGCACAATAGGAGAACTCATTTTGAGGGAGACAAGTTTGGCTATCTTAGTGACCTCATTCAGCAAATGATCAACTTGATCTTGCAAAGATCTGGGATTCCTTTTAGATTTTGGAGACAATTTTCTGGTCTTATCTTTGCTATACATATGACAGACTGGTCGAATATGACCAGTCAACCCACACCTGTGACAAGTTGGAACAAACTTAGGTTTCTTGACAACCTGCTGAACATCAAGAGGAATCGTGACTGGATTTTCGGATTTGACAAACTTAGTGGTAGAACTAGACAAACTAGAACCAAAGTGATTAAATCCAAGACCACCTTTGTCCCCATGAAGTTTTCCCATATTCAACATTTTGTCAATTTTTGATGCACCAATGGTCATAGATATAATCTTCCTATTTGCTTCATTCAATTCACCTAGGAGCTGTTTGTTTGAGTTCTGGAAACCAATGTTACTTTCCTTGAGCACATTAACTTGGTTCTCGAGGTTACTCCTAATTGACACAAGAGCATCAATTTCTTTTTCTAGAGACTCAAATTTGTCACTCAACTCCTTTTTGGTTTCTTTTAAGATGAGAATTTCATGTTGAAGATCTTGTTTATTTGCCTCAAGTTTGAGGCTCTCTTCTTTCAAGGACAGGGTCTCTTTAAACAAACAATCATATTTTCTTCCTAATGACTCGTATGACAGGTCATCTGACTCAGAATCAGATTCATCAGACATGGGCTGTACAGAGGCAACAAAGGCAACATGTTGGTCATCATCATCAGAGGAAGATGAATCATCTTGAGAGCCTTCACTTTCACTCTCACTCCAGCTCACTTTCATGGCCTTGTCCTTTCCTTTGGAGTATTTTTTCTGATTGTTTGCACAGTCAGCAGCATAGTGTCCAATGCCTCCACATGTGAAGCACTTGACAGATTTTCTAAAATCTTTCGTGAAAGGTTTGACATCCTTATTCCTCTCATTAAACCGATCAGTTGATGGTCTAAAATTTTTCTCACTACCAGAGCTGCCCTCTCTAGCAAACTTTCCCTTATCCTTAAGAATTCTCCTAAATTTTTTGACAAACAAGGCCATCTCATCCTCAAAACCTGAGGATTTATCACCACCTTTCGGAGAGGAAACATGCACTCCTTGAAGTGCAACATTTTTTGATTTTTTGGAGTCATTTTCTTCCATATTCAATTCCATCTCATAGGTTTTCAATTTTCCTACAAGCTTGCCAAGCTTAATTTCATTTAAATTTTGGACCTCCATGATTGCGGTTTTCTTTGCTCTAAACCTAGATGGTAGAACACGAAGAATTTTCTGAACAACAAGAAGCTCTTCAATGGGTTGACCTAGACTCATGGCTTCATTTGTGATCATCTCAACTCTTCCATAGAACTCAGAAATGGACTCAGATTCAGACATCCTAAGTTCTTCAAATTGTGCAAGCACCATCTGAAGTTTTAGGGTTCTAACTTGGTCATCCCCTTCATGAACTACCCTTAGTTTATCCCAAGCTTGTTTAGCATTAGGGATGTGTTGTATATGTGCAAATTGTGTGCTAGACAAAGCTGTAACTAAGGCATTTCTGGCCTTCTTGTTCGAATATGCAGCAAACACCTCAGCTTCAGTCCATTCTGACCTAGGCTTGGACACAAGTTCACCCTCAACAGTCTTGACCGGAGCAACCCACTCTTTTGTGAGATACCCACTTGCATACTCATCAAGAGCATCAAGGAATATCTCAAATTTTTCTCTCCATGCAGCATAGTTATTGCCGTCAAAATAGGGAGGGGAGTTGCAAGATCCAGCAACTCGATCCCTTTCCATAGTGAGCACACCTAAACACCAAAACAAAACCTAGGATCTCTCTATTTTTGTTAAGAGCTGACGCTCTGATACCAATTGAAAATGATACTTAGGTGACGAGGGGTAAACTTAATCACACAAACAAGACACAACAACACAGCTAGCTTCACACACTTTAAACCTTGACCAAATACACATATGACTAGTCAACTACTAGTCAAGAAACAATCACAACCAATAGAATACACAGAGCATGCCACAATGTACCTGCAATCCTAGAAGATTACTAGTGACAACCTAGGCACTCAGAAGGACCCATCAATCTAGGCATCCCCTGTGCTAGCAACAACTATGGTGAAAGTGTGTGAAATCATCATTATCATGTAAACATCAAACAGCAGATACAGATGACTAGTCAACCACCAAGAACACAAACCCAGAAAAATTACAGATATGCAAAACAGATTTTGTTCACCCAGAAACCCACCATTGGGAAAAACTGGGAGTCATCAACCGACCAGGCAATCCACTAAGTAGAAAAAGATTCTTACAAAGGAAACACAACCAAGCTCAAGAAGCACCTAGGTCTATTTAGGAATATGAGCAATACCTCCTTTGTGCAATCTTCTTCTCCAACTTAGCAAAGCTTGAAGCTCAGTCCTTCATGGCAATGGCAGCTCCTTCTCCAGCTCGTTCATCCCATGGCACTAGCTTGCAAGCTCCAACACAAACCGAAACCAATTTGGATTCAAAGGAGAAAGATCAATTTCTTCAAGAAACCATACTCTTGAAGAAATCAATCTTGAATCTGACCTAGATATAAATGATAGAATGATTTAAATAGCTAGATGCAGATTTGTGTTTCAAATGCAGTTTTTCAAAAAGAAATCAATTGGAAAAACTCATAGATGAAATAATGGTTCTCTCGTGGAAGAAGAAGCGAAAGATGGCAAGCCAAACTTTCCAAAACTTCCACCCGAAAAGAGACAACAGCCAAAAGAGAAATCTCGTGGGTTATACAGACCAACAAATTCGTTAGGTCAGAAAACCCACTTGGCGGCAGAGAGAGAGAAAGAAGAATAGGACAAAACAGTTTGTTATCCAGCTGGAGGCAAGGATGACTAGTCATATGAGAAACGGTTGACTAGTCATCTTTTTATGAAGACTGTTTTATGTAATGATATGCAATGCTCAATACCTTTGTCAACTTGTTTGAGCCACCATAGAGCAGAGATTAGAGAAGAGCACCAATAAAAGTTTTCCCTAATCTAGACTTGAGCTTGATAAATTACATTACACATCCTATTACAAAGATGTCAAGGGAAGCCAAAAGAAAATATTAAAAACCATACATTAACACCTTCATTGAATGGCTCTATGTTAGGGTGATTGCTACATCTCTCGTTGAATGGCACTATGTTAGTTAGGGTGTTGTATTGTAAGGAAGAAATGAAATTGCCTGATAAGAATTCACAACTTTGGGGCCTGAAATTACCTTATCAAACTCAAGATCATAATATTAATGTCTTTGCAATTGTTGTTTTCTCCATTGATATTATTCTGACTATACTTTGAACATACTTAATGCAATTCAATTGTCATTAATATTCAAATGGTGTTTTTTTTTATAAATGAAACGGTGATATATTATTAATGATAGGAAAGGATTATATTTGATTGGAAACTAAAAATCAAAGGGTGTTTTAAATTGGCTTAAATTTAGGAATGTTTTAGAGTAAGTTTAAGTAAGTGACGTTTTGGGCCTATTGAATCTATGAATAAACATTTAATATACCTATCACGTTTCTGCAAAAACTAATGTACCTATTTTTTATGAAGGATATCCTATTTTGTACCTATTATTTTATAAAGAATAGGGATAGATTACTAATACGTTAATTTTGAATTTAATATGTAATTTCAAATAGGTTTCTAAATTAATTCATGCATCCATTACAACCATTTGGAGATTTTTTCAAATTCAACGTGTCATTAGTTACAACCCCCACATAACACGTTAGCTTGTAAATAGGGGTAGTTTTGGAATCCAAAAATATAATAACTCATATTTTAAGTTAGATTAGGTAACTTGTTTATTTGTATCCTAGTCATCGGGTTTTATTTGAAAAAAAAATGGGTATTTTAAATATAAAAAATAAAGAAAAGGGTTATAGATGATTAAAAATGAATTTTATGGGTCTAACCTCAATTTTTTTTTTTCCCAATTTCATTTCATCCAATGTACTCTGTGCTCAATTAACGATTAAAATCATTTTATTGCATACAGAAAACTGCAAACATTATGAATGCATAAAATTCAAATGCAGAAAAACATGCAACATTCTAACACCTTTATTTGCATTAATTAGCATAACGACAAGTACAACTAGAAAGACAGAGCAAGGTTGGTTTAGAGCATGACCTAACACACTATACTTGTGCAACTCCACCTTTTCCATATCATTAGCCTCACCATTCCAACGATCTTAAGAAACAACTCCTGCCTTCTTGTGATGGCGACAACCGCGAGAACCATTCCCACTGCAAACCCACTTCCAATTCCAGCTGAAAAAAATATCAAATCAAATCCAAGCATTCAAGCTGAGCCTGAATCACTGTCTTCTTCAGTAGAAGGTGGCGGTTGAGGGGCCTCTTGATTTCCGCATTTTGGTAATGGATCTCCACACAATCCTGGGTTTCCCTCATATGAAGTCCTATTCAATGAAGTAAGTTGGGTACCTTGCGGTATAGGACCTATGAGATTGTTGTGGGACACATCAAAGTACCCAAGGAATGTAAGCCTCGTCAGTTGTTGGGGGATTTGTCCTGAGAGCTTGTTTTGTGAAAGGTCCAACGATTCAAGATTTCTTAAGTTCCCCAAGGATGATGGAATAGAACCAGTGAGAATGTTTCTGGATATATTCAGTGAGCGCAGCTCCTTAATGTTCCCAATGAATTCTGGAATCTTACCTTCAAATTTGTTGCTTGAGATATCAATGGCTGCAAAGCCTTCTTGAATCTTTGAATAGTACAAATCCAAACCTTTAACTGCTATTGTGATTGAGTAAGCAACACTTCGTAGAATAGAAAAACCATTGAGGTCATAGGATATATCTGTGTACATGTATGTTGACTTGTTTACAATAATGTCTGAAAACAAAGGTGGAATCTCACCTATGAAATTGTTGTAAGACAAATCAAGAATGCATAACTTGGGGAAGTCAACAATTGTTCTAGACTGTCCTATTACACCTTTGAAGCGATTATGGCGCATTGCCAAAAGTTTTAACTCTGGGAGAGTCCCCAACCAAATGGGAAAAACATCACTGAATTGATTATTTGATAGAACCAGATACTCAAGCATCACACAATTCGCCAATGACCTTGGTAATTGCCCTTGCAATTGGTTATGACTAACATCAATCATCCTCAAACTGCTTCTGTTGTTGAATGGTTGAAGCATCATGCCATGAAAAGAGTTGCTTCCAAGAAGTAAAAGGACTAGATCATCACTAAAGTTTCCGAGACACTGAGGAAGCGTGCCACTCAAGTTATTTTTCGACAAGTCAAGGTACAGAAGAGAACTCATATTGCAAAGCAACGGTGAAATTTCTCCAGTAAATTTGTTGTTGGTCACTCCATATTCTAGAAGGGATGGTGGAGGGATCGGTAATCGTCCATGAAAACTGTTGAACGAAAGCCTCAAGCATTGCAGTTTAACCCAGGGTATGACAGCTGGAAGTTCTCCTGAAAAGAAGTTTGTCGAAATGTCCAAGAATATCAGGGTTTCCTTACTTAAATTCCACATCCAGTTTGGTACTTCACCACTGATTTTGTTGTCTACCAGATCCAACCGCTCCAAATTTGTCTGATTTTGTAGGAAATATGGGAACTCTTTTAAATTGCATGAACTCAAACCCAAAATGGTGAACTGTTGAACAGTTGCATTCATAATATTTGATCCAGTAACAAATTCAAAGTTGTTCGAACTCAATTGGAGTTGGTAGAGATTTTGTTGCTTCTGAAACATTTGAAACTCCACTACACCGCTCAGGTTATTTCCCTGTAGATAAAGGATCTCGAGATTGATGAGATTGGAAAATGAGGCCGGAATTGAACCAATCAACTGGTTATAAGCAAAATCTAGGTAAACTAGTTTGCTAAAGTTACCTAGCCAAGACGGAATTGGACCAGTTAAAGAACTCGTACTAACTCTAAACACAATCAATTGGGTAAGGTTTGCGAAAGAATCAGGAATTGGACCTCCAAATCTGCTTTTTGAAATGTCTAGGTATGTGAGTTGTCTAAGATTGCCTAGTGCAGAAGGAACCAATGAGTTTGAAAAATTGCATTGAGCGACATCCAACTCTTGCAATGAGTTAAGCTTCTCAATCGAAGAAGGTATGGTTCCGAAAAAACTAGTAAACCCAACTTTCAGTGAGACGAGAGGACTACTTTGATTAAATTCGGGCAAATATCCAGTGAGATCTTGGTTGTATCTCACACGAAGAACTTCTAAGTTTTGTAGACTGAAAATTTTCACTGGAAATTCGCCGGACAGATCACATTGCATGAGGGAAAGGGATGTTAAAAATGATAAATTTGTCAAGGAAACGGGTATGATCGAAGATATGTTAATGTAACTAAGACGAAGAGTTTCTAGACTAGTTAAATTTTGAACTAGACTTCTCATATCAGATGGTTGAAGTTTCAACAATCGCTGAGGATTATCAGGAGATGTTTCATTTTCAAGCATATTACAACACATATTAAGGTATGTCAACTTGGACAAGTGTGAGACTTCTGATGGGACTTGACCAGAAAAGAAAGAGGCAGAGAGGTCAAGATGAGTAAGGCTTGGAAAATTTCTTATGCTAGATGGAATTTGAGAGTAATTAAAGTTATTGTCAGAGAGGCTTAACCTTTGAAGATGCACCAAGCTGAACAGGCTACTGTTGGAGTCGAAAGAGCCGTAGAGGTAACTGCTGCTGAGATTAAGGCCAATAACATGACCTGTCATC